AGCCTTAGATGTAAAACCAATTACGTCTTAAGTGGATCTATCAAGCAAGTGGAAAACCTCTAGATCAAGCAGGACTTGCAAAATAAAATGAAGATGTAATTGCTTCTGTTTCAGTGTCCTGTTTTCTTCAGGAGATTTAAAGCCTTTCCGAGTGCTACATAGTTTTGATTCCTTGAATCCTGCTGATTTGCGCCAGTGTATTGGATAAAGCATTTTGCCTTTGCACTCAGTTTCTCATTGTTGTAACAATGGTTTTTACCTCTGCTGAGTGTCATGAGGCCAAAGTGCTGAGTATGTGAAGTATGAAAAGTTGCTTATTATGATTATTAAAAACAAAAAATGTAGGCAAAGTGCTAAGCTAATCGAGAAAGAATGCAGAAACAGAATGTTGCCCAGAGACTCTGAATCTTTCAGCTGTCCGTCCTGTACAAGTGTAATGGTCTAAGTTCTTCAGAAATAGCATTGCAATTGATAAAGAGGGCTATAAAAACATTTATTTGTTATACCACCTGTGCCAGTCTTCAAAACCACACAGTGTATTTATTTTTTAGTATTAAAAGGTCTCAGGAGGGGATATTTTGTAGATTAATGTACCAGTGTAATCTAGGCACTGGTAATAGTATATATGTCTGGTAATAGGGTAAACCATGGTTAGATCTGGCTGGTAGTTCTGGAATATAGTCTGTCATGTGAAGTCATTTATACTGAAAAAAAGATAACTATTGAAGTAACAGGTTCAAAACCAGAATAAAATAAAATAAAAAGCCAAAAGAGGCAGTTAATTGTCAAAAATGTTTTTCTTGTCTTCCTTTCCCAGAGAGTGAAACTGGTCTGATATAAATAATAATAAAAAGAGCAAAAGAGATGGAGAACAACTAGACAGGTAAGAAATTACATGTGGTTTTTTTGTGTTTTTTTTTTAATGACAAACGTTCATGATATTTTTGACAAATGGTTCTGCCTGTAACCATCATGGACCAACACCCCTGCATGATTCAGTGCAAATGTTGACTACAGGCTCACTTTGTTCAATTAGTGGCTTCCTGAACAATAAGGAAAAACAAAAACAAAAAGCAATGAGAACTATTATATATAAGATCCTCCTAAAATGTGAATCTAATTGCTCTAATTGCTTAATCAGCGAGTTGTCAAGTGCCTAGTGCAGCCTGTTGAGAAATCAAATTAAAAGATAAGCTGTTTATCTTTTCCTGCATCTTCACATTCCCACCCAAATTACTGGGAATGTCAGATACTGTCTCCAAGCTGAAAGAGGAGCAGCAGTATTCAAAACTATGCCCGTAATATTGTGTCATTTATGTGAACTTAGGGCAGAAAGGCACTTTCTACCCGTCTTTAGCAGAGGTGAACTAATCGGCTGAGGATGGGACATGCAGTACATTTCAGAGGGGGACAAAAACAGGGGGATCCTCCCTGCAACATCTGGATAAAATGGTATCAGCTAATCAGCTGAGCTGCCCTTTATAAAGGATAATAAGAATCTAACCTAAAATGCCAAAAGGTCTTTTCCACAAACCTAGCACTGGAAGGACTTTGGCAGGCAAATGAGCTTCTGTTTTTAAGGCTCGCAGTCCTAGAAACAACAACAAAAAAAGTCTGATTCCCCTAGACTACCCATAAACATGGCAGCTAGAACTGGGATGTAACCTCTAGGCTGGGCTGAATCCACCAAGCCATTTCACAGGGGCAGTTAATAGGTAAAAATAGGTACCTGTAGATAATAAGGCATCACATTTTATTACCAATTCCCCAAGCAAGCCAACATCCTTGTGTCTTTCCTCTCAAAAGGATGCTTTCTTCTAATTACATATCACTTTATTAGGCAGCTGAAGCAAAGAGCACATTTGATGCTAATGAAGTGCTGCTGTGGTTGGAGTCTGTTCCTATTTTTGGACCTGCAGATCTCCAGCACTTTTGATTGGGTGGCTGTGGCTTTGGATGTCTCTAGCTTCTTCTATGGGGGATGCTCAGTGAAAAGCAGTGACTCAGCGAGCCGGGGCTGCAGAACTGTTTACATGCTCAGAATGTGAAAAGCTGCGGGACACACAAAGGCTTATTTGGTGGAAGTATATTCCAGGTAGTGACCAGTATTATCTAGACTGAAAAAAATATATATAGTATTCACATTGTTTCTAGGTTGCTCAACTGTACAAGCTTTGTGTTTTTTCCTTCCCACCCCCTCACCACTTCAGAAAAAAAAGCCAGAGTTCACAGAACTCAAGGAAAGAGAAGTAAAAAGGGAGACAAATCACAACCCTTGGGAAAGATGAGAGCTTTGTCTCTTCCATTTTCTGCAGCAAAGGCTGAGGAGCTACTTGGCACTGTGAAACCATGGTTTGGTGTTGAAATTTGACTTAGCAGTTAGCACCCTCAGAAGCAGGCCTGCTCCCACGCCTCTTAATGCTGACACCAACACTCATCTGGTTCCACAGTGACTCAGTTTGGGAATCTAAACGAGCAAAAATGCTCATTCCTGCCTCTCCCCACAACACTGCAGAGCAACCTGATCTGTTGCTTTAGCTCCTGGCTCACTGCCTGGTCACACAAGTACTGGTAGGCAAGTGCAGAATGTGAGACCTCTTCTCTCCAGTCCTCTTAAGACAACCAGGTTACTAAATCACATCCTGACAGCACACTGGGAGTCAAAGCCTCTCCCTTCAGTTGAAGTTAATTATTCAGAATGTCACTCATCTATTCTGATACATGAATGAGGAATGTGCTAGAGTAACCAGTAATTATAGAAAATACCATTGCATCTAAATGCCCACTTATTCTAAGGCTAACTCATAGATATTTTGTTACTACATCTTCCTTGTTCCCGGAGTGTTTTCCCAGAGAAGGAAGCAACAGAAGCACTAGCACCTCTTACGTCTTCCCTTGACTAACTCTGCAACTGAATCTTGGTTTACAGACTTTGTAATACCACAAGCTACAAACTATCTTTGATCAAGCAGTCTTCTATTGTTGAACTTTTCTTCCAATTTAAGTATTCCCAAGTACAACCTGTACACATTTCAGCAAGTTTTCTATTCATATGGGGTTAAGATCTTGCCTTGGTAGTACCAGGAAGAATCACAGAAGCATCTTTCCTGCATTAGCAATTAGCAAATACTAGCAATAAGATGCATGTGACATTTCTGTGTCTTCTAGAGTATATAAACAAGTCCCATCACATTAAAATCTCTCAATGTAAGCAAATTAAAATCTTTCAAAATATACCCATTATCTACCAAACTACATGCAACAGAAGATGCAATTGACTGGGTAGTTGAGGGCCATGAAAGATAAAGGGAAAAAAACCATCTTTGCAGAGCTCAGGGCAGAAGGTAGCAGAGCAGCAGGGACATTAGAGTATATAAACAAGTCACATCACATTAAAAGCTCTGAATGTAAGAAAATTAAAACCTTTCAACATATACGCATTATCTACCAAACTACATACAACAGAAGATGCAATTCACTGCGTAGTTCTGAGGGCCATGAAAGATAAAGGGGAAAAAAAAAAAAAATCTTTGCAGAGCTCAAGGCAGAAGGTAGCAGAGCAGCAGGGACACACGTGCCCCACCAACAGGCACTGGGTTAGAAGTGGGGACAAGACCTGTTCATTGGCTCCCTCTGCTGCACCACGCTGGGTGGAAGTGCTAACTACACTTCTAACTGTAAACTACTAACCAGTGCTAACTACCTTAATCTCTCCAACTCAGGCCAGCACTAGCTAGAAAAAGATCCTGCCAATCCAAGTGATTATGCAGGTGTCCATCTGGGTTTATCAGATCTGGAGCACAGGAAACCTCCTTCCCTGGGGATGCTCTGGGTACTAGTAAGTGACACGCAGCAGGCTTTCCCCTCAACGAGGAATATGTCAGGGATAATAATAAAAAGGAGGAAATACTCCCTTTTCTGGCTCCTGCTTTTCATGAAGCTTTTATGATTTTTATGAAATCTCTACTGTCATGTAGCCCATTGGCTAACTAAGAATTAATAGGAAGACAGATGGTGCAGTTATATAAGCCTTGTTTCCTGCAGAAGTCTGGCTAAGAGTGAGCTCAAGTGTGCCAGATCTTAGTTATGTACAGCCTCACTTTTTGTTAGAGCAGAGCTATTACCACCCAGGCTATCATCTTCCAGTTATCTGAACTGTCCTCAGAAAAAGAAGGAACCAGACAGGACTAACTTTCTCTACTTACTTTCTGCCAGCTTTTAAGACAGTGAGTCTAAACGGAGCAATTTTTCTCAAGTCTCCCAGGGTAGAAACATGCTTGCCTTTAACGGTTTTCATTTTTAACTGATTTCTGAAAGTACAGAATTAAGAACCATGCTCTTGCTTTTAGCTTTAAGTGGGTACTGCTGTGGCAAGTATTTTTTCTAGCTACAAGCATTACAGCCCACAAAGGTAACCAACAAACAGAAAACATGAAATTTGGGAGGGGTATTGCATTCCAAATATTATGAATCTAGGAACATTAAAAAGTTATCCCCAAAACTCACTTGGGAGTATTCCCAGTGTTCCCACTTCAAAATGCAAGGCATAGCTCCTGAAGTGCCTAGAAAAGGCTTCTTGAGGCTGTCCATAGACTCACAGATCAAAGCTGTTCAGAAAAACCATCTCAAAGCTGTATGCACCCTTTAAAATGTCCAAATGTCTGTGAGTTACACAATAGTTGCTCAATTGCTCTCAGCTGGTTCTTCATGTTACCTGAAGCTCCAGGTACAAACAGCAGAGAACTACACCGGCACATCTGTCAAGAGCAATGTTTAACTCCCAATAGGGAGTTAATCCAGCATTTTTATATTCTCTATTCCCAGTGGAAAGCCCTCTTCTTGTAACTCATTGACAGTTAAAAAATTCAACTGTTTGTTCATTAAAAGTGGCAGTTATCTACAAACCCTCACTTTCACACAAGTTTTCCCATCCTTTAAAGGATTTGCATAGGGATTTGCACAACACACACTATCGTGAATTGCAATGAAGACACCAGAAATTGTGTTTTTCCCCTCAAATTTAATGTGGTGTTTTGAAAACAGTTAGAACACCAATTTGTGAGGATAAACTCCATTTGAGAGAGAGAACGTGGACCGCAGGTACCCACGGAGCTGAGGAACCTTCTTGATTCTTGCCAGGATCTGCGTATCCACTGCCTTCTGGTCTGACTTGCGTTGCTCCGTTATCTCATATTTCTAGGAAGAAAATGGAATAATGGTAAAATACTTGCTGAGTTACTTCAGATTCATCTATGGACCTACACTTCAGTGAAAGCTCTGGGCTCTTGGCTTCTCAGGAAAGCTTATTTGCCTTCATGCTAAACATGGCAAAGGTGGTAGGAGACCAGAGGTGGCAGAGGGGACTAAAGCCACCATTTGGCTTAGGTTCCTGATAACCAGAGTCAGCAGCGCACTTGGCAAAATCAAAATAGCAAACGTGTTCCTCAAACAAAACCCACCAACATCCAACTAGAATAACCATAGCTGCTATTCTGCTAAAGGGAGAAGCAGAAAAGGATGTCATATTAATTCATTTTAATGAATTACCTCACTTTACTGAAGACCACTTAAATTAAAATTGTCCATTTGTTACACAGAATTTTCCCCCTTCCAGCCTAGCTTTAAATAAAAGGACATTGCAAAGAACTATCACGGCACTCCTTACTTCTTTTTCAGTGTCAAAGATCTCGCCTTCCTGGTGCTTGGGCTTACGCAGCCTCTTCTTCTTGAAGTACGCATCAGTAAGATGCTTGGGAATTCTCACTCCGTTGATATCAACCTTGGTAGATGTAGCAATAACAAATTTCTGATGGGCCCTACGCAGAGGGACACGGTTGATAGCCAAGGGTCCTATCAGCAGGAGAGAGAAAAGATAGAAAAGGTCACTTTTTTGGGGCAACAGCCACCATTTTTTAGGTTCAAGTTCTCTGGTGTATCAGGTGGTTAAGTTTAACAGAGATGCTCGCAGTTTAAAAAAAAAAAAAAAAAAAAAAGATGCTTCCTGATCTATTCCAGATAATCAGATTTAATTATCTCCTCTCCACTTCTCCAAGATTCACAAACATGATTTGACACAGTCAGATGAACACCCATCAATGCCAAACCAGCAAAAGTTGGACTAAAAAACGGATTTGACTGAAAGAAACTTTCTTACCTGTAACAAGCAACAGGCCAGTAGCGAGCTGCTTCAAGAAGACCACACGCTGAAAAGACACGTGACGTTAGTCCACTGATCCAGGCACTGCATCTCCTTTGATGCCTAGGAAATACTGCAACCAAACTGGGACCACTTCTCCACTCAGCCCCTTTTCCTGGTACGTGCACTGACAAATGAGCCACACTGTGTTTCAGCACCTGTGGCAGATGGCAGCTCTCTACATGCTCCACCATGTAATGCTGAGCAAATCCTATTAGTATCCTCCTACCTTCTGCCTAGTCCTATGTATTCTACAGTAAGTTGAGAGAACAAAACTGTCACCTGGCCTCTAATACCCAAGGCAAGAACTAGATGAAAAACAGAAGGGGATCACAATGGGTCATCAGACCTGCCCTGCGACTGCATTTTACTCTTTCTGTTCTAGGATCTTAGGTTTCCATCCCTGCACAGCGAGCACTCTGAGGCTGAAGAACCCAAGGAAAACAAGGGGTGTCAGTTGAGACTCCCTGACAAATGTCATTAAGATGTGCAACACCACTTAGTGCAACACTTTAGCATTATCATTTAGCATTACCATTGGGCACAAAGATTCAATCCTTTCTTTACAATAGCTTGTCAAAGATAAGCTTTTGGCCTCATTTCTACAGAAACAGAGGTCAGCGTGCTATTCTGTGACCCAAAACCAGTGTGACGTGAACCTACCCGCTTTCTACGTTGCAGCAAGACTCCCTTAGCCCTGTGTGAATAACGGGATTAGCGCAGCCCATTTCCAGCTCTGGGCACTGGGACATTTCTTAAGGGACCATTCCCCTGAGGGCAGAAGCATCTATACAGAGATCACAAAACCTCATCAGAGTTACAGGTTCCCACCTCGGGGGCTGGACAACACCATGAAATCAGGCAGTAAATTCACATTGCCTCTGCCAAGTTAAAAGGATTTCAGCACCAAACTTGTGTGAAGCCACCACGAGACCCCTGCCAAGAACCTGGGAAGAAAGGACAGGTTACCTTGCCCCTGTGACGGCCCGTGAGAAGGATGAGGACAGTTCCTGGAGTAATAGAGGCGCGCAGCTTCCTCTTGTGCTGGGAGAAGGGCTTTTTGCCATGGCTCAAGAGCTTGCGAGGGACGTCCTCAGTTGGGTAGTATCTTGGCTAGAAAGAGAAGAACAAATTATATCACCATCCCATTGCCACGATCTAGCAGGCTTTCACTACAGGTGGGATTGTTACCCCAAAGATGGCCTTTCTGGAAAGCACCTTTCACAGCCTGGAGTACCTCAGAAAAACACCGAGTACTCCGAATTACGCAAGTGCAAAAGTTAAGCTAGAAGCTGCATTTCTCCATTCTCAGACATGCATCATCTAGGCAAGATTTACACAAACGCTACACATGCAACAGCCCTAAACTGGGTGCATCCAAGTTTCTTTTCGTCAGAGCGATTTTGCACTGCAAGATCTGCTAGAAATATCCGTTTCCCGGGAGCATCCTTACCATTTTGCGGACTTTAACCACACGGCTGCCTCCGTTCTTATCCCCACCCACTGGCTTGGTGATGGTTGCAGGTGGCTTCTCCTTCTTTTTCTTCTCTATCTGTAAGCAAAAGGAACGCGAGTGACGTTTGGAGCCGAAGTCACCGAGAAGCTATGGGACAATACGCTTATCCAAACGCGGAATTTCCTGCCCGCGCACCTTCGTCTCCGGAGCGGTGTACTTGCGCTTGTACATGGCTTTCCGGGCATACATGGCGGAGCGGGAGTAGCGCCCGATGCCGCGCGCCAGCACGGGGTTGCGGCTCGCATGGTGCTTCTTGGGCTTCCTCGCCTTCTCGCGCAGCTTCTTCTGGCTTCCCTTCTTCTCGGCGGGCTTGGCCTCGGCCGCCTTCTTGTCCGCGGCCTTCTTCTCGCCCGCCATCTGCGGGACCAAAGAAACGGCGGGTTTAGGCACGGGAGGGCTCGGGTGTTATAAGGATTCGGGTGTTACGGGGGTTGGTTGTGCTACGAGGGG